AAAAAAAGACGTGGCACAGCTTGATACTCGCCATCATGAAGATATAATTGAAGATATAATTGAAGATATGGGTGCTATATAGTAAAATGTGGTGAAGAAACTAGATGGTCCCCGGCTATCAGCAACAATAGTATCTGGAGTCTTAAAAGGTTTGCCTTCGAACAAACAGCCATCTGAGTGAGTCTACATGGAAGAAACACATCATCCTCGTGAGCCCAGGATTGTAAATAATATAATCCAAATCCAATGGAGGAAATGGTATCAGAGCTTAAATTGTAAACACCCAGTTTGCAGAAAGCTATGGATAACTGTGGAAGTCCAAAATCCATTTGCACCATCCACACATGGATTAAACTTCTGGTGAATGCACAGCTGAGGGAGGTGAATAGCCTTGTTATCAGAGAACATTGTAAAGTTGATTATGGCAGATGCAGTTAGGTTAAAATGTAATTGCCTTATCATTTGATCTCATTTTTGAACCATTTTAAAGTTGTAGTAGTTTAAACAAAGGGGGGGCATATACATGAATTAATCCTCTGGTGAATCCCTCTGACTAAAGACTAGGGATGTGAATAGCTGTCCTATCATGCAGGGTGCATTAAAAAGCGGATTGTTGCAAATGCAGTTGGGTTAAAATTTAACACCTTACCATCTGATCTCCCATTTGACCTATTTAAAATTTGTTCTAGTTTTTAATATTCTCTGTTCAATTGGTGTTTTTGTTTCGTTATTGTTGTTGTTGGGGTAGTATGCCTTTTGTATATGAAATATACAGAATCCTAGAGACAGTAACTTTTCTTGGAGCATAGCAGGGGAGTCTGGGGGCTCTAATACTCATGAATACAAGAGTATGTTCTAAAATTGATGGTGATAGTACAACTCTTTTAAATATGATTAACTATTGGATTATATATGTGAACTATATGCCATTAAGACTTAATTAACGGGGAGGAGATGAGCCAGTCAGGGTGCGATGTAACAACGATGAGAAATACAACTTTCCTCTAGTTCCTAAATGTTTCCTCCCCGCTCCCGCTACCATGACTCGAATTCGACCTTGCAAGTCTGGCTAGACCAGAGGAGGTACACTGGTACAGATAGGAACTGAAAATACAGGGAATCCAGGGCGGATGAGCCCTACAGGACCAGTGGTGTGAGTGGTGAAACAGGGAGAGTAAAGGGAGAATGGGTAGGAAAGAGGGAACCGATTACAAGGAACTACATGTGACCACCTCCCTGGGGGACAGACAACAGAAAAGTGGGTGAAGGGAGACGTCAGACAGGGCAAGATATAACAAAATACCAATTTATAAACTATCAAGGGCTCGTGAGGGAGGGGGGAGCAGGGAGGGAGGGGAAAAATGAGGACCTAATGTCACGGGTTTAAGTGGAGAGAAAATGTTTTGAGAATGATGTACAAGTGCGCTTTACACAATTGATGTGTGTATGGATTGCGATAACAGTTGTATGAGCCCCTAATAAAATGTTTTAAAAAAAATAACCACACTAAAAAATAAAAAAAAAATTAAAAAGAGGAGTCAAATCAGGTACCTCCCAAAATAAGTAATAAATATGTGGTAGATTTAATATTCATCTAATTGGCCCTTTATTTTTAACTTTATTGACATATAATTCACATGATTCAATAGTTGTCATTAAAAAAACTATACCACAATCAATTTTAGAACATAACTACCCTTTCTTCAAAGTGTAAACGGTGATGGGAAGGAGAAAGCGACCTAACTAGCTGCCCTGACTCCAAGATTCTGGGCAAATGACCTGTGAGTGAATCTGAAGAGAAACCAGGGCTCAAGGGCAGCTTGAAGCCTTTGGAGCAGTTAGTGGCTTTGGGCCAGAGGGAGGATAGGGCACTGGGCATGAAAGCTCTGCTGACAAAGCCAACCCTTTGGCAGCTTCCGCTGGGAGTGTGGAATGTGGGTGAGAGGTGAGAAGTGGTGAAAGCCCCCAGAGGAGTCCCTGAGGGAGAGGGAAGCAGCCAGTGGCAGGAAGAACAGCGCTCTGCCTCCTTTCCTTATGCCTTTGCCCTCCTCCTGCCCCTGAACACGGGCCCTGACCACCCTGCTCACAAGGCAAAGCCCCAGAATCAAGACTGCACTCGAACATCTACTGCTAAAGAACACTTTCTCAGGCAACGATGTTCAGTTGGGAGTCTGCTGGTCTGGACAACTAGCAGGGGCTTCTTTGCTCCTTTTAATCTTTAGTGAAAGCTGGGCTGGGAAGGGTTGGTGAGAGAGGAAAAGATACACAGGAAGGAACGTACCAAATGCTAGACAGAGGTGGCGGCATTTCCCAAACTCCCCACCACCCATCCCAACTTGCAGGGGGAACACAAGTGCCAAGATGGAGTTCACCTAAAATTGCCACCACACTTCAGAGCAGACTCCTCCAGGCAGAAGTCCGGCAATCATGGACAGGCTGCTGCAGAGGATCCTTATGGGGGAGTGGTCTGCATGAGATCACTCCAGATTCCTTTCAACCCCAAGGCTCTACCTCTAAATAAACCTTTCTTCATCAGAACTCCCTTTATCAGAGCAAAGTCTTCCATCTGTGTAGAATCAGATTAAGGATTATCTGCTGGATTGCTTCTCCATTCCCAAGACAAATTCACAAATACAAGGAGTTCATTTTGTCTAGAAATTTATTAGATATAATTATTACAGAGGAGGACCCAGAAAATGTTAAAATGGTTAATTTTTTTATTTGCCCTGCTATAGTACATTTCTCTTAAAATTCCTAAAACATTCTTTCTCAAATCTCTGTCTTGATGGACAAATTTTAAAAACACAGCACCAAAAACTTGCCTTGTTTTTAACTTCCACCACAATTTATTTAGTTCACATTTTCTCATTTCCATTCAGATACGTGAGATGGCTGTATTTGGTAGGACAGACACAGACCTTCAACTTAACGGTATCCTATTTCTCTACCTCACTTCCCGAAATACAGACCTGTAATCACAAATAATTCAACACTCAGACTAGCATCCATGTAATACTCTAGCACAGTGGTTCTCAACCTTCCTAATGCCGTGACTCTTTAATACAGCACCTCATGTTGTAGTGACCCCCAATCATAAAATTATTTTCATTGTAATTTTGCTACTGTTATGAATCGGGTGACCCCCATAAAAGGGTCGCTTGACCCCCAAAGGGGTCCCGACCCACAGGTTGAGAACTGCTGCTGTAGCAAGAGTCCTCTTCCCTGGCTCTTTATTATTCTTTCCCACCTCCCCTGGAGTCTGATTTAAAATTATGATACTAGATTTAGTAGTTATAATTTTTTTAACTGGGTCAATCCAGGTGACATTTAATATAAAATTGTACAAACCATTATAGGATTCTGATCAAAACAATTTAGCTGGTAAGTTAATTATGGTTTTAGTTTTTGTAGAATGGAAGATAAATCACTGGCTAACGGAGGCTCCAAATTTGGGGTGGGTAAAAGGCATAAAACAGGCCCCAGGAGATTCTTACCCTTCTGCTCAACCAGAGGCCGAAAGAACACTGGGTTATAAGTCAGAACGGAGATACTGGCCTTTAATGTAAACCACTTCAATTTCTCCCACCTCAGATTCCTTATCTGTCATAGCTTATAGCCTGCTTCTGAATTTGGTGTACTCACTGACTACCAAAGGACCTCTTCCAAAGATACAATTTATAGAGCATGAAGATGCCCAGGGCTTTCTATTTCTGGGCAGTGCAAGGACGGGAGTACAGTGATGGCAGGGCCAACAAGCTCCCTTCCATTCTACCACTGGCATCTGTGGTGGAGGAAAATGACTTTTCCTGGATCACAGCAAAAAAGGGGCTTGTTCTAGATCTATATAAGAGTGCTGAGCACCACGCCTACTAGAATTGTGCAAAACCACTCATCCCAACAACCCAAAAGTTAATGAATATTAGTGTTTATTTGTCTGATTGGGTTTCTTTCCATATACCTTCATGTCCCACCCAAACCCCCCATCTTCAACCCTGGACCCACTTCTCACACCACAGGTTGCTAAATGCATGAACAAGTCCTTAAGCTCAGTATGACACGGTCTGTGATGAATGCAAATGTCCACTCTACTAGGTCACCTTCTGAAGCAGGTGCTAATCTTGTCCTAGTGGGTCTTCAGTCTCATCTGAGGATATGCCACCAAGATGATGCCTGCTATAGATGATACAAGGCCTCCGAAGCCAATGATGCCAGGATTGGACTTATAGATGCCTAGCCGGTCCAAAGGGTTTAGAATATCACCAAGGTTCTTCATTGTGTCCAGGAGCAAGGGAGGATGTCTCTTCAGGGACTGGAATAAGAGATGGAGAAAGGACTGGAGCCATTCTGGTTCCTCATCAGCCACACTGTGCCCAAGAAGTTCCTGAGACTTCTCCTTGGCCCGGTCACGTGCCACCTGTCCCATCTGCAGGGAGATTTCATACAGATCCCTGACCAGGCTCAGCAGCAGAGAATAGTAGTAGTGGCGGGCAGCCCACACTCGCCATTTTTCTTTGTTGATGCCAGAGGCGAGCCCTACACTTCTCACCCAGAGGATGGTATCACAGACGGAATAAACCACACGGTTTAAGTTGGCTAATGTCAGGCATAAGCGGGGCACCAGGTCAGTGACATGAATGCTCTGCTGAGTCGCCTGTACAGCATGTACCACATTTCCTAGTCTGAACCCTGCAAGAAGAACCCACAATGGTTAACAGTTACTTCATTAGTACACAATGGAAAGGCAGAATCCACCCCTGCATCTGGGTGAGAGGTCAGCACTGGCTTTTTGTCTGAGACTCAGTCTTTGCCCAAGAAAGGAGATGGATTCTACAGTGTGTTCAAGACATCTAAAGTGATCCTGGAAGGCACAAAGGGCAGTGAATCTTAAAATTCACCTCCTCATTCCAGGGAACACCTTACACCCAACTCCAGGAAGGCCAATAATGAATGTGGACTGTTATAACATCTGAGTACCGCCAGCTACAGTTCTCGAGAAGGAAGGAAGGAAGGTGCCCAGAGAGCATGAACTCCAGGTGAAACATTCTCCTGGAGCATTCCCTGTCTTACAGTTCTATTCGTTTCCAGAGAAAGGTGCTAAAAAAAACCATTTTCACTTTGCCATTTCTCTGGTCCAAACTCCACACAAAGTAGAGATGACAGGTTTTAGTAGATGAGGCAATTTGAGACACTGTTATACATGACTCCTAATTGAATTAAATAACCCTTGCAATAGCATGTCCTTAGGTGGGTATGTAATTCAATCAATTAGGGATGCATCACTCAACAAATATTTTTCAAGTGTCAACTGAGAATGACTGAGTCATAGCCTTAAATCTCATAAGGGATTCAGAGGTTCCTCACCTGAAAGGACTACCCCTTATATTCAGCAAGTAGCTTCCTCAGGAAACCTAAGATTTCAGGAGAATGTCTGATATGATCTTATAAAAATAACACAAAACAGTGTAAGTCATGGCTATTCCTGAGTTCCCATAACTGCACTTCTATTCACTGACTTTGTGACTGAATAAGCCCTTTATGGGCTTCTGCAACTAGGGACCTCTGCAGGACTTTGAACTCTAACATACTAAAGAATCTCAAATCAAATGAATGTTGGCCTTTAATGTGATCCAGAACTGCTCACCAAGCGCTCCTTTTTCGACAATCTCAGTCTTCTGTCAAGCTACTTTCCTCATTGAGCCTCCAAAACAACGGCTTGCTCTGAACTCCTGAGTCTTCACTGGAAGAAACCACCCTGAGACATACTCTTTCTTTTCAGGTCTACCTCCTCCCAAACGCCTTTACTTTCCTTTACGCTGGACTAGACTTGACACTACATTTCTTATGCTTTGTACCCGGTCACCTTCTTTCTCCCATAAAGTTTGAGACGATAAACCTATACTGCGTGGTGCTCAAAAATAGTTGATCAAAAAATAATAATAAATGATCAGGCATAGTATTCTCCTCCCCCCCGCCCCAGGGCATAGTATTCGTAATAAAAGCATGCGCTATCCCAGTATGATTTATTATGAGTGAATTAAATGAGAATACAACACTGACTTCACTTCAACTGAAACTATCACACAAATAGCCTAATAAAATCTACTCACTCATCCATTTTCTCTAGCACTCCCACTTAAGAGGAAAAAGCAGGTGATCCAGGACTCAGCACACCAAGAGCTCTCAGGAGCCAGATCATCATGTTTGAGCTTGTCAAAATATCTGTGATTCTACAAACGAAAGGTGAACTCATGCACTGTTAGTCCCAGTGCTTATGATTACACAGAAAGACTTGGTTTAGCTTCACCTCTGAATGTAGGAGAGCATTTGTGCCTGGTGTGCAGACAAACATCCAACCTTGTTGGCCTGTCATTCCAGGAGGGCAGCCTTACATATTGATTTCATGAATAAACTTGATTGACCAGAAACTCACGACTGCGGAAGTATTTCTTGAGGCCACAGGGGCTGAGACCGAGCACTGATTCTAAACCAAGTCACTGTCCCTCAAGAGACGGTACTTACATTTACGGCCAGTGCTCACACTGGACTCCAGTTTCTTGAGTTTCATGACCAACTTGTCTTTGCCAGCTTTAGGCTCTAACATATATCTAAGTAACATGCATGTGTACTGAGTGGCTCTGAAATGGAAAAGAAAAATGAGAATGATTTACAAATTAAAACTTGATTCATGAAGGACAGGAAAGAGAAACACGTCTTACTAAAGCAAAGCTTCTGAGACAGAAGCAGCTCTTAGAAGAGAGTTCTCCACACGAGTCCACAGGCCAGTGAAGGGAATGTGACACAAAGGGAATGCAACAGAACTCTGCAGGAACGCCCTTTCTGCTGGCAGAGAAACGATGTAGTCCAAGTGGGAAGTTAAACAAAAATCTCCCTCATCTAAATCTGCAAAATCCATTCTTTTATTAATGAAATTGTCATTGGAAATTAGGTGTGTGCTGGTTGGGAACGAGGTAGAATAATTTTATTCAGGGTAGGATAATTTCCAGACTTTACAATGAACCTTTTTTTAACCAAAGTTAACCTACTACCTATATGAAGATACAAACTTGAACCAGAATCAAATGAAAAGCACAGTCTGAAAACGGTTTAATTTTTGACAAATGAAAGGACCAGATACACACTAGTATATCTAATATCTGTCTTTCAAAACTAACTACTATTTAATATAAAATATAAATAAGCTCCTGTTTAATAAGCACTCAGGGGCAGTGGACTGGTATGGGGTTTTAGATCTTCAAATGTGGGGACGGATGGTGGAGTGGTCAAAGCTCTCCAATGCTCACCGAAAGGCTTGAACTCACCAGCTGCTGTGCAGGAGAAGGAGATGGTGGTCTACTTCCCTAAAGCTTTACAGTATCAAAAGCCCCTCTTCTGCCCTATACGGTTGTTAAGAGTTGAAATAAACTCAACTGCACTGGGGTTGCTCCTCCGATCAAAACAATCTTTTTAAAGTGATTATTGTCAGACCTGTGAGTAACTGCTTTACTGACAGAAATGTAATAAATGAGAAATTTTCTATCAAACAGCCAAATGCACTTGACAGTCTACAGAATAAAGAAGTTGCTGCTTCCTCCTCCCCTCATTTGAACCTCATTATACTCTACACTCAATACCAAGAAAAAGGTGGAACATTTCTCCCACATGGTGAATTTGTGGTTGGGAATAAAGCAAAAGGGGAATACAAGGATCAGAAGCAAAGTCAGTCAGTCTCTCTGTCATGCTTTCTGGTGAGGGGAACTCAAGCTGGCCATGTCAATAAATCTTCCTCTCTCCACTATGGTCTAGACTAGGCGTGGATCCAAACACCAGGCATTTTCTAAATGTCAATTTGTTTAGGGGGATCAGCAAGAGGGCTGGGAGATGCTAATGACCTCCTACCTTGCTGAATTAAGTACACTCTAAACGCTTTGGCAAACTTTACAAGGTACATTTGAGGTATACTATTTTATAGAAAATTGCACATAAGAGAACCATTTTGTAAGTGGATGCAAAACTCCTGAGTAGGGCGTGGTAGTTAAGAAGTGAGCACTGTAGCTGCAATGTGTGGGCCTGAACCTCTGCTCTTAAACTTAGTACACTCTTAGCTTCCTTCTGCCTCAGTTTCACCATCTATGAAATGGGGATAATTCAAAATTCTACCTCACAGAGTTGTGATAAAGGTGAAATAGTTGTAAGAAGTATCGACATTTTTTTTAAAAAGGAAGAAAAAGAAGAAAAAAAGCATTGAGAGTAATGCGCGGCTTCCAACTTATTACAGGGCCGATGTTAATTGGTCTCTGTGTTAAAGCACTCGCACACGCAGAAGGTTTGGAAGAGCTGCTAAAGAAAGTTAAACTGTAACTGACGTTGTTGTTTTTACTTTCTGAGCAAAAATCAACCACATGCGTGGTATTAACAACACAATCCCTGTTTAATATTCGAAGTAGTCCGGCAAGTAGGGGCAGTGCGCTCTGTCTGAAACCCTCCTAGGATGTTTTGCAATTTATTGTAATGGGGCAGGATCGAAAAATGATGGAAGATAAAAAAATATGTCTATTATCCCACAAAGGATCGTGTTCCAAGGGGAAACTGAAGCCACCAGAGGGTGCAGAGCCCTGGCCATCAATCGCTAGCGAAAAGCTCCCTCTTTTAAAAAGAAGGGAAGGCTTCGGGAGACTGTGGCGCGGGAGAAGCGAGTCTTCCCTGGGCAGGAAACGTCGGCCGGTGGGTGCCAGGCTCGGCGGTTCGAGGAAGTCGGGGTGCTAGGCACGGGGCTCGCGCGCGGGGGCCCTGCCCCCTGAATGGAGGGGGCGGCGGGGCTCGGGAACCAAAGTCCCTCCGCGGCGGCTCGCGGCGTCCGGGCGGCTTCCACTCCCTTCTTGCCCGGAGCCGGGGCGGAGAGGCCGCCAGCACCCGACTCACCTGAAGAGCCGCTCCCGGCCTTGGGTCTGCTGGCTGAAGTGAGTGAAGACGTCCATCGGGCCCGGGCCAAAGGCGCGCCCGCACAGGTGGACCGGAGGACTCCGTCTCTGGGTTCCCGCCGGGGCGCGCGCACCTCGGGCGGAGCGACTGCGCGGGCTTCCGGTCGGGACCGGAAGTGGTAGTTACTAGGGAGACGCCCAGCCGCCAGGGCAGGTAAGCGAAGCCTTGCCCTTCACTCTCCCTGACCCGCCTTTTCCCCTGGGTTCACTCCAGTCTACACGAAGAGATGCCAAGGAATCCCGAATGGGATGGAATCCCGGGTGGAATTCCCAAGGGATCTGCCCAGCTCGACAGCTTCCTTGAGTCTCTGCGTGGTGGGAATAATCCTTCCATGAGCATCCCTCTGTTTCCAGATCCTGGGAAACCAACGGTTCTCACAGGGACAAGTCGCTTAGCGTCGTGTACTCCTAGCGTGCGGGCTGAGTAAAATGTGATAATTTTCTGGTAGGGTTATTGAAGACTTTTTTACCCAAGGAAATCCTAAAAGGGTCAATATGAACAACTTATGTGTGGTGGTCAAAACAAAAATTATGTATAGTGAATCTGTTAGATCTCTCTGGAGCTAGATATACCTATGTCCTTGGCTACACGTGAGAAGGAATTCACGCTGAAGCCTGGTTCGTGATCCAAGTGAGTTTTATGAGCATTAGAAGAAGTTTCAGGTTCACACAGGCACCGATAGGACTCCTCCCGAACATGCAGCCTGCTTGGAAGCTGCTTGGTGTCACCCAGTCTCCCAAAGTTCTGCCCAAGTTCTCTGGGCTCCTGCCTTTTCAAGGATTCCACGGGGAGGCGTGGTGGATGACCCCTGATCGACCCCATTGGCTGAATTGAATTCACCTGGCCTAGGTGGGCCAATTCAGGTTCACGCCCACCCATGCCTACCGGTGGGAAACCGGAGCCTCTGGGCATGTGCAGTGTGCCACTCCTTTGTTCCCATAGCTTGGCCCTCTGGGCATGCATTACTGGACATTCCCCAGCCCTACGCTAGCCTACCTAACAAATCTACACCCCTAGACGTTTGTTCAGCTGTGGTGACCCACCATCACTTAGCAGTCATTTTAGAAAATGGACCTTTGAGCGTAAGATCACTGAGTTTTGTAATCTTTATTTCCTTGGTCAAGCCTGCCCTAACACTTGCAGCCCTGGGGGTAAGAGGATATAGCTGGAGACCCACACATCACTTGCTTTACGGCTTAAAAGTTGTAGCTCAAGCAAATACATGACTAAGGTTATGTTCTGTTCTGCTACCTTGACAAAGATACCTTTGAAATGATCTAGAAGGCCAGGGTTACTTTCAGAATTCTTGGACTCCTTGAGCAACACTGAAATGTGGTGCTGTGGGGAGAGTTGAACCTCCTGTCCTCCCCTTCCCCCTTCTCTTCCTGTTCTGACCTTTCATACAAGGATACAGCAGACCACATCCAAATGCTATGCATGCCTCTAAAAAAAGCCATGCCGTGGCTACCCTTCCCCTCTGGAAGTTCTCTCACTGACAACTGGTTCTGCCCTCAGGGCAGCCTGGAGGTGCTCATGGAGGTTCTGTGGTCATTTAGACAGAGAATCTCAGGGGTATAGATACCCTGAACATATTCTAGACTCTAGAAGGGGCACTCGAAGTAGATCTCCTTGACCTCATGTATTTATTTATTCATTTTGTGGGCAATGGAAGTCCCTGCAAGTGACCTAGGGTAGGACAATATTGAACTCAGTATGCATTTGTTGAATATTGAACTTAGTCAGCTAGGGATGGAGTCGAGGAAACAGCACAATTATGTAAGCTGTTTTTCATACTTATGATTCTTTTCTAGAATATGTCAACTTAATCTTATAGTACGTATATAGCTATTTGTATTTGATTTCTTTCACTAAATACAAGGCATTTGAGTTTTATCCATATTGTACCTATCTGCTGTTTGTACATTATTATTGCTAAGTAGTAGTCCACTATATGGCTATATCGTAGCCCATTACCCATTCACCTGTTGAAATATGCTTATGGTGTCAGGTTGGGACACTTAAAAATAAAACTGTTGTCATTATTCAAGTGAAGATTTTCATATGAAACATAAACTTTAATTTTTTTAATCGTTTTATTAGGGGCTCATACAACTCTTATCACAATCCATACATACATCAATTGTGTAAAGCACATTTGTACATTCATTG